GTGATTCCTTGGGAATCGTTGCCAGCAGACTTTAAGACTGTGGTCTTCAAGGAAACAAGAATCAGATAAATCCCTGATCAATAGCTTCAGAAACTTGTACACCATAGTTGACTGAGAGTAGAGCGACGGGCCCAAAGAGCTGACTTCGACTGGGCAAAGAGCCCAGTCTGTGCGAGCTCACTTCGAACATCATATGAAAAGCTGAAGAAAAATAGGAAGGATCTAATTATGGCTCACATTCACAGGGAAGGATGGATGTGTAGTCAGCTAGGATTAGTGCCACAGGACAAAGATCACATCAAATGTATGACCGTAATGAGAAGATATTTGCGAAAATGTTAAAGTCAGATAAAACAGACTAAAACTGTATTAAATTTAAAATTATCTATATTTATACAAGGATTTGAAGAAATTTATGATCGCACAAAACAGTGACTAACAATGCAGAAACAAATTACCACAAACATTCAGATTTTCCAATTTGTCCAGAAACGAAAAGTTGAAATAAATGACCACAATGTGTATTTTCGGAGTGCACAGCAAAAGATAAATAAATAAATAATCAAAATAAATTACCAAAAATAAGAGACTGAAGAGATATGTATATTTATATTATTTTATCAAATACAGTTGCGCCTAAGCTCATTCTGAGCGCCGGGATATGCAGAATAGGACAGGGTCCAGAACGGTATTTTAAGAAAAGCATTCGGAATGCTGATGATTGGAGGCAATTCTGGAAGAGATATGTTGAGCGAGGAGGGGGGCTAGGGTAAATAACGGGGGACAAGGGGTTAAAATGTTGGGGTGGGGAGGGCAGAGTAAAGAGGTGGGGGAAGATACACACACAGCCCCTTCCACAATATCAAGGGAATTGATAGGGTTGATAAAGACAGGCTATTTAACACAAGGGGAACACGCACAATGGGACACAGGTGGAAACTGAGTGCCCAAATGAGCCACAGAGATATTAGAAAGAACTTTTTTAGTGTCAGAGTGGTTGACAAATGGAATGCATTAGGAAGTGATGTGGTGGAGGCTGACTCCATACACAGTTTCAAGTGTAGATATGATAGATCCCATTCGGCTCAGGAATCTGTACACCTGTTGATTGACGGTTGAGAGGCGGGACCAAAGAGCGAGAGTTCAACCCTCGCAAGCACAATTAGGTGAGTATATATTGAGATACAAGGCACCCCTGGTAATTAACACTAAATGTGCCTCTAATCATTCTTTCTTGGCCACTCTTGGCACTTTTCTTTTACCTACTTCACGTGTTCTTAAACTCATTCCTTATAGTCACCTTCTCCGTTTTATTAATTATTCTTCCATCTCAATTTATAGCCCTCCATCTCCTCCCTATTATTATATAGTTCAAGCCCTCTCATTGTCCTTCACCTTCGTCCAATTCTCTGTATTCATTAAATCTTCCTCTGTCCCAGTTCCGTTTTATTACTTACAACATGTTTTATTTTCTATTTTTTTCAGGTCTTCTCCCGCTGGAATCTTTTTCTCACACAGTTACGCCCACCAGTTAACGCTCTCGCTAATCAGGCGTCCACACCTCCACCTGTGCTTGCTTCTATTTTATAACCTTCTCTTATATATTATTATACTCAACTTCTCAGTTCTATTGCCTCTGTCTACCCTCCTCCCTGCGGTTATCTATGATTAGATGCTTCTCCCTTCCTCCTATGCGTCTCCTGATATCACTTCCCACATGCACATTCTCTTCCCCAATTCCTAAATACTTTGAGTCATCAAATTTTTTTTTTACTCTTTTCTGTGAAGCCACACTCCCGACACCATCCCGGTTGCCACCTGTCATTCAACACCATTTGTACAGCCAAACCCAGCCACCAAGCCATCTTTTCCTAAACCAAACGCTTCTAGAAATTAATCCCAATATCCTATTTGATTTATTCTGAGCATTTATGCAACGAGTTTTTGTCTCAATGTTCCTACTTGTAATAACTACTTGTAATAACTACTTGTAATAGATTTGTTAAGCTGCAGGTATAATATAAAGATATTTTCTAGTATATTGAAAAAAGTACTTATTTAAAATGCCTGCAAATTTCGTTATCAGTTACCTGACCAATCTCACTTCTGATTGAACCATTCTTATCTCTATTCTTTATTTGATATCTGAACAAAATTAAGTACGTCTCTCTTGAGGTTATCTTGAGGTTATCTTGAGATGATTTCAGGGCTTTAGTGTCCCCGCGGCCCGGTCCTCGACCAGGCCTCCACCCCCAGGAAGCAGCCCGTGACAGCTGACTAACACCCAGGTACCTATTTACTGCTAGGTAACAGGGGCATAGGGTGAAAGAAACTCTACCCAGTGTTTCTCGCCGGCGCCTGGGATCGAACCCGGGACCACAGGATCACAAGTCCAGCGTGCTGTCCGCTCGGCCGACCGGCTCCCTCTCTCCCGACGATGCTTTACCTACTTAAAAGTTTCTCCTTGCTTTTCTTATTTCTTTTGTATAGTTGTAACCATTTTGGCAAATTGTTGTTTTTCATTCACTTCCCGATTCTTAATTCTTTGGAATATAGTTTTCTTTTTTTCCAATAAAGTTCATTATTGTCATTGCTATTCATTTGGTGACTGTTATTCAAACTTATCAATATATGTCGTAAACTACGTTCCAGGGCTTTACTGAGAATGTTATTAAATGAGATATAACATGAAACAACATCGTAGATTTTAAAGGATGTAAAAAGGAGCTGCCAAGTATGGCCAGTGGGTGTTCTTCAGTTTCCCTGATTCTTATGTTCTTATATTCTTATGTTCTTATATTCTTATGTTCTTATATTCTTATGTTCTTATATTCTTATGTTCTTATATTATTATGTTCTTATATTCTTATGTTCTTATATTCTTATGTTCTTATATTATTATGTTCTTATATTCTTATGTTCTTATATTCTTATGTTCTTATATTCTTATGTTCTTATATTCTTATGTTCTTATATTCTTATGTTCTTATATTCTTATGTTCTTATATTCTTATGTTCTTATATTCTTATGTTCTTATATTCTTATGTTCTTATATTCTTATGTTCTTATATTATTATGTTCTTATATTCTTATGTTCTTATATTCTTATGTTCTTATATTCTTATGTTCTTATATTCTTATGTTCTTATATTCTTATGTTCTTATATTATTATGTTCTTATATTCTTATGTTCTTATATTCTTATGTTCTTATATTCTTATGTTCTTATATTATTATGTTCTTATATTCTTATGTTCTTATATTCTTATGTTCTTATATTCTTATGTTCTTATATTCTTATGTTCTTATATTCTTATGTTCTTATATTATTATGTTCTTATATTCTTATGTTCTTATGTTCTTATGTTCTTTATCCTTTGTCATGTTACCCATCACTGGACACACAACAAACCCAGAGAGAAGTCCCAATCGGTGTCTAAGTCCATCCATTCAAACTCTCCCAAGAAACCCTCCCTTTAATTCCTTTCAGCATTAAATAGAAAATCTGGCACCCTAAAAAAAAGTCATTTTCTCAAGCAACTTTCCCATGCAATGGTAAATCCTTGTGATTGGTGGGCCCTATTTTGTGGTATTTATTTGTGAATCCCCTGATCGTTAACACTGCCTGGGAAGAGAACCTACCAGAGAGACCAGACCTGTCCTTCACCCTGGATGATGCTCGCATTCACAGCATCATAGTGAGAACCATGAGCCATCGGCAAAATATTTCGTGGTTTCATTAAATGGAGAATATAAAAATGAAGCAACAAAAAGATTCGTGTTTCTGCGAAAGGGAGTAAGAACTAAATATTTTATTCTTGAGAGACTAACTTCAGAATGAACTGTTTAAAAATATAAAAAGAATTCTTTATTTGCGTCCTTTTGAAAATTAGAAAACTACTAGATCGAAATGCGTATATAATTATTAATGGTTTAGCATAAAAATGCTGGTTTCTTTGATATGTAGTCGATTCATCGTTCTTCCTTTCTGATATTGAGTCCCTCTGTGTAAGTGAAAAATCTATTCATATTTCCATATATTAATATTCAGTTTTCTATTACTCTTCGTGAATACTGAGAGGCCATCCTGGAATTATTTCTCGAATTCTCGTTGTTTTAGTCATCTGGACAAATATTTCGTACCTTTACTTCCCACAATCAGAAGGTATTTAATATATAGACATTCGTTCCTTAAACATTGGCACAAACTCTAATTGGATCTTCAGCATAGTTAAGTATGATGACCAAACCACACATCAGAGGATGAAGAAACGACGACGTTTCGGACGATTATCACGTCATATGTGGACCAATATCAAATCAATATTATCATATATCAGTGATATCATCAGCCACGTTATTGTGACTCATCGTCTGCCCAGTTAAGTATCTTCATAATAGCCAAAAAATGTCATGTCTTTGACGATTTTTACTATATACAATGATTTAATCACTCGCAGTTACATTCCTTCATTGCTAATACTGTTTGGCAATCAGAGGATTCTTAATTTGTCTTAATTATATTTTTGACTAACTAAGTGTCTGACGAAAAGCAAGACATCGTGACTTCACGCAGTTCACTTTGTGGTAGGGCACAACAGGACCTTGTGAGGTGTCCACGACTTGGACGTCCTCAATAAAGTTGAACTTTAGAAGAAAAGTTGTGGACCAATTTGGCAGTTATAACACAAAGACTCTTCGTTGATGATAAAACAGTCGTTTTTGTCATCAACTGATGACCCTTTTTTTGAACAAAAGTAATTTATTTACTGATATTTTGAATTATTAGAAATAGTAATCAAATATTTATATATATATATATATATATATATATATATATATATATATATATATATATATATATATATATATATATATATATATATATATATATATATATATTTATTTTTTTAATTGATAAACCAAGTCTGGGATATAAACACAAGTATAAGAATGCCAATTATCACTCTTTTGTGATGGCCCTGAAAAAAAACTTTAAAATGGATTTTTCCCCCCTGCACATGCAGCTGTGGTGAGCTTCGTAGAGACCCTGGTGGAGAGGACAGTGGCCCTTCCCTGTAAAGCAACGCTCCATCCCCAAGGGGACACGCCCAACCTCCTCCTCTTCTACAGGCACTCCTCAAACATTCCCTTCTTCAGGTACGTATGTACGTCTGGCCTGTGATAATCTTCATATGATACAAATCCTCCAAGTGGGGCCTTTGAACTCCCGGTTGCAATTTTTTTAACCGTGTCGTAGCACAGTCTATTAAGGCGTGGATCTTCTCGGACGTAAGTTCGAACCCTCATCACAGCCCTTGTGGATTTGTTCATGTGATGCATCACGCTATTGTGATTTCTGTGTGTAATGAGGTTCATATGTTTGTCCACGCTCTACCATATCTGCCTCTGTGGAAGAAATAGATTTATGGATGGATTCATAGGAAGAGATATTGATAGAGTGATGGGGAAATGGATGGATACATGGATGCAAAGATGGATGGATAGAAATATAGAAAGATGGATAGATGGCTAGATATATGGATAAAGGGACAGATTGTTAGATGGATAGATTGTTGGTAGATGGATAGACGGGTGGGTAGATGGATAGATGGATAAAAGGAAATATGAATAGTTGGAAAAATGGATAGATAGATGGATGGATAGATGAATATATATACTGATAAATGGATACATGTAAAAATAGATGCGTAAATTGATAGACTTATGGGTAAATACATGGAAAAATGAATGGATATATATAGGTAGATGGATAATTACGTAGAGAGATAGATGGACGGCTAATTAGATAGATGGAAGGATCGTGGATAGAACAATGAGTAGAATGGCATATAGATGGATAAATAAATAGATGGTTTGAGGGATATATGTATGAACAGACGGAAAGGGGGTTGAAAAATCGACTGATAGAAGGATAGATAAACATGTGGATAGTTGGGCCGAAAATAGATAGATAGATAAATAGATAGATAGACAAACCCGGCGTTGCCCGGGATTTTAAAGAACTCTATGGTCCAGGTCATGAACCCATATTTTAACTGTAATATTGTAATGTTTCCACCGCATGTACTATATATTGAGACTAAAAAACAACAAATTATAAGTATTGACAGAGTGTTTACTTTCACTCAGATGGTACAGAAGCATTCACCTCTGTTTTTTAAAGTTTTTGTTCCGTTATTGTTTGTAACTTTTCTGGCATTTTGTTTCGTTGTATATCTTGCAGTCTCTTGACCTTCGGTGATCTTAATATGTTTCCTGGTCACTTTAGAAATTTATTTGAGCATATGACCAGGAGGTGTTTACGTTTTCCATGAGTGATGCTGGTTGTCTCTTTTCCCTGCAGCTACGACGCCCGCAACGGGGATTTCTGGAGAGCGGGAAACTCTAAGATCCGCGACGCAAGATATGAAGGTCGCGTTTCCCTTAATCTGACGCAGCCACAGCGGGTACACCTTAACCTGAAGGGCGTCTCCCTGCAGGATGAAGGAGACTTCACTTGCAGGGTTGACTTCCTTAGTTCTCCTTCTCTCACCTCTATTGTTAAGCTCAAGGTCTACGGTGAGTATCTGCTTTAAATCTACAACAAAACTGGTAATGTTCCAACTTTAATTTAAGGGTGATATATATGGCAGACTAGAATTTAACTCGGCCTTGTGAATGGGCACATCGTAGATGTCAAGGTATTTCCTGTCGACCAAGTACACCGTAGATGTCAAGGTATTTCCTGTCGACCAAGTACACCGTAGATGTCAAGGTATTTCCTGTCGACCAAGTACACCGTAGATGTCAAGGTATTTCCTGTCGACCAAGTACACCGTAGATGTCAAGGTATTTCCTTACGACCAAGTACACCGTAGATGTCAACGTGCACTGTACCACCGTCGATGTCGGGTACATCACAAGCGTTAAAGACAAAACACATACGTAAATTTATAGCAATGTGTTCACGGCCACTGAAAGTTGAAAACATTGTGACAGCTAAACAAAAATCCCAAATATTTTTTCTTTCGTTTTCCGTTGAAGAATCAAATACGGTAAAGAACAAATATAAACACATGTGATCGAAATGCTTTTATTCTGAAACCAGCATATTGTTCTTGTCCATTTTCAGTTTTGAATGTAATTGTATAAAGATATAATCAGAGACAATAGCTGATAGTATTCAATAAAAGCCCATTGTGAAGCTCACTATATATTTTACTCACGGTTTCGTCAGAGGGGCCCTTGATGTTTTCAAGATTAACACAATCATCTGGCCTGCGAGTAATGGGATTCACACCCTTATCTAACCTTCTTTCTGATAAAAAATAATAAATCACAATGACGTGACATATCGGTGAGAAAATAATTTTGGGGCAATGAGGTGACTTGAATCAGCGTTCTTGTGATTCCCAGACACCTGTCTTAACCCACTCAGCCACAATAGGACAAGAAACCTATCAACTCGAAACTCTACTGGATTTATGGGGGGATTTGGAGGTTCGACAGGATGCCCAACCAGGATCATACAATAGGCCCGCCGGGTTGAATACCGGAGGCATTCAACCATACGTCCCCTACTCCATAGATTCACAAAACCAATTGATATTCGAAGAGCTGTGGAGGTGAGAATCTCTGCCTAAAGACACCACCTTGCCAGATAGATGTTAATGACTTTCCTAATGTTAATTACACAAAAAGATTATCACGTGCAACTCCAGAAAATACAAATAACCTTTTACAATTATCCTATCAAACTCAGTTCACAAAATGGTACCTTCAATCCAAATTATGTCTGCCCTAACTACAGACAATAGTCTGAGAGCGTGTAAACAAGGACACGTTGCCTCAGTTGATTATTTAACTAGTTTAAAACTAACATCTCTACCCTGTGATCTCTGGGATACAATATCTATTATTCTAAAATGTATTCACTGGGGCTACTGGTTGTAAAATACTTATATTAACTAATATGAAAAAAAACTGCATGGCACTTGCATAAACCTGGATACGCAAATAAAATTGCATTCTATTGTTCAAAGAAGAGAAATGCATGTTTTTAGTTTCATTTGTAAAATTTATTCAGCTTCACTAATGCAATGCAACATTAAATTAAATAGATGCAAAAATTAAGTAGATATAAAATTTACACAGATGCAAAAATCATTAGTCGTAACATTTTTGCTGCAATAAAATTTTATTTTAAATTTAGCGAGAACGAGGCTAATAACACCTTTCATAACACCCTGTCATCTTTCACCAAGCAACTTAACATACCCGAATGAACATTGTACACCCAAATTGGTGTGTGTACAAAATGCATACACACACCATACCATTAATACGTGTGAAAACGACTCAAATTAAACATTTAGAACAATAAACAAAATATATACTAAATAAATACTAAATAAAATAAATAATATAAAATAAAATAAATAAATAAAATAAATAAAATAAATAAAAATGTATATATACAAAATAAATACTAAAATATAGAGAGAATAACTCACAATAACGTGTGTGTGAAAGCAAAAAAATCACATACGGGAAGAAAAGAAAGAAAGGAAGAATCTACATAAGCACGTAGAGTCATTATAATAATGAAGTACTCGCATGAAGGTAGAATCACACTGGTAGTAGAGTACACACACGCAGGGGAAGATACAATGATAATGCTGTACACACACACGCGCAGAGAGAGGAGATATAATGAAAATGGTCTCCATACACACACACACGTAGTGGAAGATACAATGAAAATGGTGTACACACACACACGCAGGGGAAGATACAATGATAATAGCGTCTACACACACACACACGCAGTGGAAGATACAATGAAAATGGTGTACACACACACAAGCAGGGGAAGATACAATGATAATAGCGTCTACACACACACACGCAGTGGAAGATACAATGAAAATGGTGTACACACACACGCAGTGGAAGATACAATGATAATAGCGTCCACACACACACACGCAGTGGAAGATACAGTGAAAATGGTGTATACACACACACACGCAGAGGAAGACACAATGATAATAGCGTCCACACACACACGCAGTGGAAGATACAGTGAAAATGGTGTATACACACACACACGCAGAGGAAGATACAATGATAATAGCGTCCACACACACACACGCAGGGGAAGATACAATGATAATAGCGTCCACACACACACACGCAGGGGAAGATACAATGATAATAGCGTCCACACACACACACACAGGGGAAGATACAATGATAATAGCGTCCACACACACACACGCAGGGGAAGATACAATGATAATAGCGTCCACACACACACACGCAGGGGAAGATACAATGATAATAGCGTCCACACACACACACGCAGAGAAGACACAATGAAAGAACAGTACACACATTATCATCACCATCATTTACCAGCTGCATTATTAACAGCAGTCTCCCAGGACGGCAGTCAACACAATGGGGGCAACATTTCCAGCCGATTACGATGCACAAGCAGTAAAGCAGAGCTGCATTTGCATATACAAAAACTGGAGCGCTGCAACAGGAACAAGCAGACCTTGTTCCTGATGGAAGAACATCAGGAAATGCTGGAAGATCATCTTGTAAATCCAGCTCTATACTACTGCTAATAAAGGAGTCAAGTAGATAAATATATACATGTCGTGTCATCCTTGATATGGAGTGAAATAACAGGATTCGCCGTTTACCCTTTCAATAGCTTATTTCTGGGCTAATTATACTGTTCGAAATTGTTTGTGTCGGTGGAATATATTTGAAAGTTACAATGAAAAACCTTTCTTTATATTTCGTTTCTAAGATAATCAGGTTTTTGTTGTTTTTTCTCCCGTCATTTAAGGCAGGGAGGCTGTATTGCTTATCGAATCCGATTACTGAATATCTGTACAATTCTCTGCATGCCACCCATAAATGTCGCCTGACTCCTGGGTATATATATTTTTACTATGTGGTGAAAGAAAAGCACCAACATTTCGCACTGTCGCGGAATTGATCCCAGTAATCAGCGGTTGTGATCCGAAACGCTAATTTACAGATTTACACGCTATCGATTTAATGTCTTGCTAATTTACCACGTACAAAAAGAGACACTTTAACACTTCGACAATCAGTAATGGGGTGAAGGGCGAGACTGCTTGAGAAAGCACTGCATCCAGGTGATTGACCTGCCTCGTTTATTTTTGCTTATCAGGTTCATATTTCGGTGTCACGTTTGACAATTTTTTTAATATGATTGAAGTAAGAACAGTAAATAATAATATTGTTATGATGCCTGTAATCCTCT